CCCCACCCCAGGAACTGGAGAGCATAAAGTCACTGTGAAAGGTACATTTTGGATCCAGATAGGCCAAGCAGCTCATCAGACTTTAATGTCTGCAAAATTAATATTAAAATGTCATTTTTATGTGTTTGAATATGTGTATTAAATCATTTTAGGGGTTTAGAATATCTTCCTGAACTGGAACTTTTATTTAAAAACAAATATATGCCACAGATAATTAACATATGTAATTTGAAATATTTAAATACATTGGTGATTACATTTCAAAACTGTATATTTTCTCTGTGGTTAATCCTATTATATATATATGGATATTAGCGCTTTGGTTGGCTTAATATTCACATAACCTACCTAATTCTTTCTCTAAGTTATTTTCAACAACTGATTTGATTTTTTAAATGATAGTTTAATCTATTGGTTTATATTGTAAAAGTATCACCTGAATGCAAAGGTCATTTCAAAGATGAAATTAAATGGTTAATATTTTGCTCAATAGAACCATATTCTAAATAATATCCACTTCAATCAAAACTATGCCCTTCTAATATATTTAAAATTGCATTACTGAATGGATCTTTGTATTATAAAAATATCACTGCTATCTATGATCTATAACAAATTATGTGCAATATAGAGAAAAATACAGATAAATGTGAATGCCTATACATGCCAGTATCCTAAAATATTTTGTCACTATAGAGAAAATGCTCAAAGTTTTATGAAATTTTTGTAATAGCAATTTTAGTTATAAGATACTTCCTGAAGAATATCATCATTAAAGAATAGGCAAAGTATAAATATGAGAAGGTACACTTAAGAATTATGTGTGATGCTTGAAATTAAGAAACAACTGTGTTTAACAATAGGTGATTGGTTAAATATAGGATGGAATATATATATAGTGGAATGTTTGCAGTTGGAAAATATTGAATATATTGAATTAGAAAGATATCCATGATGAACTTAAAAAATACAGCTACTTATAAGACTGCAATATATCATGATCCCATTCTATATATGAATTAAATGTTGAAACCATACACAAAATATTAAGGGACTGCCTCTGAAAAATTATAGATTTTAAATCTATTTTCTAAATATTTAATGATAGATATAAACACTATTTTTAATATGAAAAACATCATGTTTTTACCCACGCAAGAGGAATGATAACTTTCACCACTCCAGCGTCACACAACTAAGAGCTGAAAGTCCCATCAAGTGTGCATTCCAGAGAGTGAAATGTTTATCTTCAAGAATATTATCATTGGAGTTAGGACACTATCAAATACAAGTTATGGCTTCACACATCATTTTTTAAAACAAAAATTCATTGTAAGGACCAAAAGGGAGAGGCAGAGATTCCACACATTCATTGGCTAACACTCTGTATCCCATTCCCTTTTTGGTTTTATAGTGATGGCTATTAACAACCTGAACTGGCAGACCACCGCCATGTTCCGCCCCTTTGTGGAAGTTTGTCTGCTGGGACCCAACCTTGGAGACAAGAAGAGAAAACAAGGCACAAAGACAAAAAGCAACACCTGGTCGCCCAAGTACAATGAAACATTTCAGTTGTAAGTCATGACCCAACTCATTTATTCAACCAGGCAATAGTCACTGTGTGACTAAACTTACTCACTGAGCACCACAGATCCCAGGCAGATGAAAAGGCTATGTTTTTAGTTCCTTCCATTCAGTCAGTATCTGTTCAGTGCCCACCATGTATCAGGAAATACTATAAGCATTGAGAATGTATAATAGGATTTCTCTGCTCTCGTGGAATATACTTTCTAGAGATGAGGAACTTATGATAAACAAAAACCTATTATGATAGTATTATGCAAAGAATTAAAACAGGGCAATGTAATAGAGTGATTACTTGGCTACTTACACTGGTGTTCAGGGAAGCCTCTCTGAGTTTTAATGGAACCTAA